TAAAACGTTGAAATATGGAAATTAGCCGATGCTAAAATTGAATTTGTGAATAAGTGCATTTTCTATATTTTTCCACAGGACATTTTAACTGCACGCTCAGGTCTTCTGTTCATTACTCTTGGGGCCCAACTAGTAAACGATGATTCACCGGAATGCAGGAAAATGGTTGCGCATTGCATCAGAACTATGTTAGAAAGACTCGATACAAATGCTCGTAATCAGCTGTTTGACATCGTTATTATATGGATGAAAGATAAAAAGGTATATTTTATATATAATTTAAGAATAGATTATATTGAGGGAATGCTTGCTACCATTCATATAAGAATGTTTTGTCTTCCTGTCTCCTGCTATAAGAAAAATGTGCAAAAATAATACAAAACTGTAATTTTACCCTTTATTTTGTGTGTGTGTGGAACTCTGTCACATTAATTTAGAACATACTATATTGAAGGTGTTTGTGAACATGGCATTGAGGAGAATATTGGGACCAGGGAGTAACAAGAACCTGCAGAAAGTCTCATATGTATCAGACATAACACCCTAAGAACATTCTCATTATCTCATAGTAATTGGAAGATTATTTCATTTTCTTGCATCTTGAATCTTTGTATGCAACACATCTGTCTGTCACAAATTCTTCTATTTCCATGGGCTTTGTATGTATTTACTATTATCTCATAATATAAACATGTTAGGTGTGGTAACCTGAATCTGACCCTTGTGAATGGTGTCAGTAACATCTGTGGTTAAAGTGGATGTGGTGCCTGGGACCTGTCTGGCTGGATGATTTTTCCATCATAATCATCATAGGGATTCCCCCATTTGGCTGCATTTTCTGGCTGAGAATTCCCTACCTTATCACTTTGATACACAAAAATGTATGTAAATTAAGTTGACAGTCTGTCTACACAATTCTTGATTATAGCTTTGATGCTTATTAAGAATCAATTACACGTTTTGACCTTAATTGGTCTTTTTCAGGTGGTTCTCCTTAACTAACTAACTAGATGGCTTACCGAACTCGTAGGTTCATCACCGAATTAACCAAAGCCCTCCACCGGACCCTGTCCTGGGCCAACAAAATCCAGTCTCCTTCAACTCCTATCTCCCATAGATCACGCCTGACATTATCCTCCCATCTATGTCTAGGTCTCCCCAGCGTTCTCTTCCCCTCAGGCTTCCCAACCAATACCCGGTGCACACCTCTTGTCCCATCCATGCGTGCTACATGCCCCGCCCATCTCATTCTTCTCGACTTAATAACCCTGACAATATTGGGGGAGGAGTCAGATTTTTAAGCTCATCATTATGCAGTTTTCTCCATGCCCCATCGTCTTCTCTCTTAGGCCCAAATATCCTCCTCAGCACCCTATGCTCAAACACGTGCAATCTGTGTTCCTCCCTGTGAGTGAGAGACCATATTTCGCACCCATACAAAACAACAGCTTCTTAGAAATCAGACGGGAAGACAAAATATTTTGAACTGAGAAGTAGCAAGCATATCCAGAATTTAATCTCCTCCTAACTTCCTCATGAGTGTTCAAAACTAACAGATATGTCTATTAATTTGTATATGCTTTTTCTGTTGTTGATTTCACCATGTAATGGATTGTCATAAGCAGCTACGCACCATATTAACTGTATCATTCTTTACTAGGTGGAGCATAGTCAGTTGGCAGTGCAGTTATGCGGAATCTTCGTTACAGTTGAAAAGTCAGACTTTGAGAATCGCCTACCAGCACTGTTCTCACTCATTCTACAGCAATTCAATTTAGATGCCATTGATGGTAATCTGCCAGGTAGATTTGTGAGAATTGCGCGTAAAAATGACAACCAAACCGAAGTGGAGAAGAATCAACAGATGGGAGATCACCTTCTTTTCCAGTTGCTTCAGTTGTTACTTAAAATGTGTACTTGCTGTCCAGATATTCTCACTGAACCAAAATGGCAGGAAGATATGGAAACTGTTGGAGGTACACTGTAATTTCTTTAGGGTTCATTTTGCATATGGCAAATCAGTATTTAATAACATGTAACAAAGTCAGTCATCCCGTAACAGTTTTATTTTCTGCAACATCTGTGCCACTCTGCGCATACAGATTCCAATATATTAATAAAATTTTGTTAAGTGTTATGTAGAATCAGCTTATCTGTGAATGAAAGTAGTCATGACATTTAAGATACAATCTCTACTGGCTCCAGTCTGAGATTGAAACCCTTGGTCGCATGAACATGAAGCAGAAGTGATAACTTTCAGAATATGAATATTTATAATTAATAGTAAACTGTATTTGAGATTTCAGGTTCTCTTGATGGCAAGTACGAAGAAAACCGACATCCGGGATGTTGCGCTGTGTAGACTGGCAGTTTACCGACATTTCAAAAGTAATTGCTGCCTCTAACATCAGGAGTAAAAGATGGAGGCAGCAAGCACCTCTGAAATATCAGTAAACTTCTACCAGACTAGACAGTGCAACATCCCAGATGACAGTCATCATAAAATTCTTATGGGTGTTCACAGAAAATGTTCACGGCCTGTTAGCACATCCACACGAGTGGGTTCGTCTTGCTGCGGCACAGTTGCTTGGCCATATATTTAGTTCGCTAGATGCCAAAAACATCGCAGTAGCAGTAACATCTAGACATCACAGTGTTTCCAGAAAAGATTGTGGTTACTTTTACCATGATACTAGACAAAGGATTAAGTCGCTTGTCTTGGATTTGTGCTCACAGCTTCAAACGGGTGAAGTTGGAGCTGAACTTGTGGAACAGGTATGTGCCAGCAGTTCGCACACACATTAGCAGATGTTGGGTATTGTAAACTTAATAACATATCTGTTGTTTAGGTCGATTACCATTTAGCTCTGAATTATTCTGTACATGAATCAAGTGATGTCTTCCACAAAGAAACTTCTGCCTTACTCATGTGATTTTCTGCAGAACTATAAAGTATGTGCCACAGAATTTCTGTTTCAGTATAATATTACTGCTGGTTTATTTAATTAATTTTCTTCTTCTTCTTCTTCTATGGCTCTCCAATCCGTATTCGGTCCACGGCCTCGTCAATTCTCCTCTTCCATTCGGTCCTCTGTTAGGTCCATCTGTCCGAGGCTTTGATTGAGGTTTCGAAACTTCTTCCTTTTTACGGTGCAAGGTTGTTAGCCTTGCGACCAACCCCCAACCTGGAGGACCAGGGTACCTGTCTTAGTCTGACCTCTCCCCCTCGACCAATCTAGCTAGGGAGGCCCTACCAGTAGCTATGCTACCGCCAGCATAGTAATTCATTTTACTCCACTTAAATAATGTTCAAGTTAATTTTCAGTGATGTGATGTGCTGTGCCTAGTAAAATAACCTGGTATAAGTGTTTGCGAACTCGTATTCTTGCAGGTGGTGAAGGATTTAGTTTTCTTGGGCCGAGTACTTAAGAATGTATCTCTAGAAGGTCAGATAGATGAAAACGAGGAACAAGATTCAGATGAGTCAGATAATCAGATTAAACTTTCACTTCTGTGGATGATTCGTCGAATGAGGAAGATAGTTAACATTGAGGTGGTTCAATCACCAAAGTCAACAACTATGGTAAGTTAAGTAATTAATGTGCATATTATATGTCAGGAGGATAATTATCCACTTGCTTAGCAATGAAATATTCTGAAGTTTCTTACTTTAATGGATTTTCTTTTGAAGGTGGCTGCCTTCTGAGTTGTAGCGCCATATAGTCTGGTAGAAGTTTACTAACGTTTCAAAAGTCCTTGCTGCCTCCATAATCAGGGTGCTGAGTAATGATGAAGGCAGCAAGAACCTTTGAAATGTTTAAATGTTGGTAAACTTCTACTAATCTATACTTTGCTACAACCCAGAAGATTGCCATCTTCCTACACACCGTTGTGAGAACCTCAAATATGGGTTATCTCTTTGCCGTGCAATGCAGCGTACAGCAGTGTTCAAATGGATTGGGGCTATTGTTCTGGATTTGGGCCGTGAGGGACTTCCTCCTCTAGCGTATCAACTGCTTGCACCACTAGCTCGTGAATTGGTCAGCAGCGATGAATCTGGTACAGAAAAGCAGTTACATCAACTGGCCAAGCAGGTTTCTGATCTAATAAAAAAGAAGTTGGGAATGGAAGTATATACGCGACTTCTTTCTCGTCTACAAATCAAACTGGCTACAAGACGGGCTGATCGTAAGAAACTTCGAGCACAAGAGGTGAGTGAGTATAGGATGGAAGGGGTCTCAATTTCACACAAGCTGGTGACTTTTTGCACCGTTGCTGTACCCCTTAAGAGTAACTGGAATGTGTGTATGCCATGATGCATTGTAGCTAAGAGAAAAATCTTTTGCTCATATCAGGAATAACTGGGTTATGGTCCTGTACAGTTGGTATAGAAATTAATATGCATGTGTTGGTAATGTAAGTTCTAAAATTCTTTCAAATCCATGCATATTCATGTTTTCCACTATCTTATTTCAGGTTTTAACAGAACCAGAGAAGGCAGCAAAACGAAAGATAAAGAAACACTTAAAGAAACGAGAAGTAAAGAAGAAAAGAATTGAAAAAATTAAATTTAAGAGAAATGTACGGTCGACACGATGATCATCTATTATCTCAAAATATTTAGGCTTAAGTTAAAATTTCATATGCACCCAGTCTCCATTAACTTGCTTGTGATGATTTGATTTACATTAAGAAACTTTTCCTTTAATATCGATAGAAAATATAATGTAATATTAAAAATTAATCTGGATAGCAATGTTATATCCTGCAATGGCCATATAATGGGTGTTGCAAAAGTTACACTCATGTGGCAGTTTTTAATAAAGTACCTGTTATTGTTCATATTTGATCAAACCTGGAATGTGACAATATAAATTTTAGTAAATCTCTCAAAATCAAATTTAATTAAAATCTGTTCATCTATCCTGTAGAAGGAAGGTACAACTGCTGAAAAATAATGTTTCTGTATGGGAAAAGCACATAAAATGAGAGACACTGTAAACATTTATGTAAATAGTTGTAATAACTATATATTTTTATTTGTAATTGTATTTTATTTGGGTAGTGTGTTGGTATTCATATTATCCTTGGCTTGTACTGTTCTGCTTTCGACATGAAACCACAATTTAAGTTTTAACAGCAGTGACCAGTAATATAATGTTTTATTATTTTGATTAATGGTTCCTTTCATTGGCAATTATTTTCATACCAATTTATTGTTCTCTTTCATCCCATCATTTGGTGCTGTATAATTTGAGTTACTGACAATATCTTAAATAATCCACACCTAAATACTCATATGATCATCAGTGCTAATAAATTTAATAACATTTAGCTTCTGTATCGACAGAACATATACTTCAAAATGTTAATTATGAAACGTAGTTACGTATGACTGCAGATCTTTGAGAGTTTCAAACACTAGTTCTGGGTCAATATCATTGTAGTGCTCTATCACATTTTTAGCATTCTGATGGACCAGTGCAGCATTCCACCCTGCATTCACTGCACCTATATAATCCGTTTCAGGTAAGTTACCAACGTGCAGAGCTTCATTTGGTTTTACACTGCTATTTCTGAGTCCACACAGCGCCAAATGAAATATTCGGGGATCGGGCTTTTCAAAACCTGCAGAATATGATGTTATAATAAATTGAAAATACTGGTGCAATTCCATTGTCTTAAGAACTGTTTCTAGACGTTCATCATTGTTTGATATAATTCCTACTGGAATATTCAGTGTATTCAAACATTTAAGTAACTCTTTTGCACCTTCCATTGTCTGCCAACACTCTGATGTTTTATATATTTCTACAAGGTGTTCACCAATAGTATCAAGAATTGAAACATCAAATGCCTTGCACTTCACAGTTTCTTGAAATGTTTGGTTAACCAATTGTTTCCACCACCTTTCCCATCCTAAGCCTGTGCTTTGGCCAAAATTTGGGTGTCTGGAACTCATATATCGCCACTGCTTTTTTAAATTGGCGTTTATTGCTTTCGCATCTACAGATACACCAAACTGCGCCCCAACTTCGACGTATTTTTCTGCAGGAGGAACTCGGAAATTCAGGAGTGTTTCTGTCACATCGAATGTCACTAGCCTTAATCGATTAATATGTTGCATTGTAGAAACACTTAAGAGAAATAAGCTATACTTCCTTTAATATGAGTTATTTTAACTCCAAACTTCGAAACATACACGAACCTGGTCTGAACGTATCAGTCAATAGAGCACGGGTCATATCAACAACCATTGTTTAAACGCTGATAACCAATGTGGATGTAGTTGGACTTCGCTTGTGTGGTGACGCTTATGTATTAATATATATAGTAAGGCCAGTTTCGTATTTTTTGTAGATATCTCCTAGTATGTTAACATGATTCTTTATGCTAGGCTTTAAGAACTTGTGATTTCCAGACGACCATATAAGTGTCCCGTATTCAGAATGTGCTGATTTTTAAGATGGTTATGTTCATTAATCTTTCTTTAAATGTCCAATACGTCCAATCTTCTCTTAATATACCTTATCATATGAAAAGAATATACAATTATGTTGGTTTGATATCGAAAATGTTGTTGTGGGTGGAGGATTATGAGAAATTGCGTATTCCTTATTCTTCCTCATAAATCTCAGCATCCTTAGGAATAATCGAATGTGTGAAGCCTTTATGTGTGACATCGGAACAGTCATAATGACATGTGAACCATCGTTTTAAAAGTTGAAATCATTTTATAAAAGAATTTCAGCCAGCATCCAGAGATTATCTTTTATCTCACTCCTATTGTATTTATGTAAGAAGATATGTAGTGTATGTAATTACATTTTTGTTTTAGTATTTTATTCTACTGGTGTTTATATTCATAATATGACATGTTCACCGTCCTCGGTTTATATTCTGAAGGATATATGGAATGTGAATCTATTCTAATTCAAATTGGCTACTAATACGATTCTCATAAAATCAAAGAGTGGATTCAAGTATGACTTGTCTACCAATTGTATAGTCGGCTACAAAGTTTGAAATTAAAAGGCGTTCTGTTTGTGTGGTACATGATTTGAGGAAGTTCTTGTTGTGTTATAATTCTTCGATTACATGTTGCTCGCAAATCATGTGAAAGCGTATGAATTTAAGCAGTTATTTTTCCCTTGTTTTGAACAGGAGTTGAAGTATGTTCCTTGTGTTATAACGTAGTGGAAGTGATGTAAAATGTTCTAGTTTTACTTTTTAACTCAGTGACTGGCCACAATTAAGATTTTTTAAAATATAAAATGTAGTACCAGTCTGCTACATTAACTATTGGGCCTACGATTACGTTCCAGTGGATCTGTACAGGAGGTTTAGGTTATGTTCATTCACAAGTTTCAATTTTTTGTTTTACATAAATACTTTATGAAGCATCTTGCGAGCAATTATGCCCCATTAAGATTATGGCACACAATAGGAGTCTGAATTAAAATAATTAAAACACTAATGTTGAAGAGTAACTTCTTAGAAATATTTGCACACTCTTGGCTTGCTTGATAGGCATTAGTATCCATTCATGTGTAATTCCAGCATTTTATCTGAGTAGAATTGTAGCTGTTTTGCTGTAAGGTTCAGTAATTTCTTTTGATTAATGCATTGATTGATATAATTGAAGTAAAAATAGATTGAGTTGTGTCATTATACATAGTAGCATATCTAGCAGATGATTGGAGCATATTAACAATCCCAGTTTAACTTTCTGTTCTTTGTTGTTCCATGAAGTGTAAATCTGTGGTTATTTGGCAACAATATTAACATTTGTTTCACACTTTCAAAATGGAACTGATTTGAGACGGTTCCAACATATTGATCAGGAAAGTATTATTTGGTGGTGACAAAGTAATAGTGAGCTTGGCTTTCACTATATGATTGATTGACATTATTAGTGCATAAAACCAAGTAAATGAGGAATAGCACAAGTATGGGGCAGGAAACAGTGTATGTGAGAGTCATAAAACTTGATTTTCATTGTTTATGGAATTTATTGAGGAGTAGTGAATTGATTATAGTGACATATTAAGTAGTAAATTGAGATGTATTTTAAGGAGAAATACAAAGAAGACAAAACAATGAAACATCACTATTTGTCAACAGAAAAGAAACTTTTAGCATGAATATTCCATATTGCAACATGTGTCTGAGTTGAAAGTTTAATAATTTTGGATTAAACATACATTAAAAGTATCCATGTATTTTTGTTTGCATTCATTTAGCATGCGTGCATGAATGTAAGGCATTTATTATGGTTTTGCTTGCAGTTAGCATGAAGAACTATGGAAGAGATGCTAGAGTGTAAAGGACCTTCCAGACGGCAAAAGAATAAAGTTGTTGAAAATAAATCAAGATTGCAAGGTAAGTAATTCATAATTTCTTTCCATTTCAACACTGAACTGATACAATTTTTTACACATGTATTTAAGATGTATAGTATTTTAGTAGACTGGGTGATTGATAAAGAATCAGATTTATAATCAGATTATATGCAGTTTGAGTCTCACCCTTTGCCAACTATCCTGACTAAAGATTTGTGTAATTTTCCGCAGTCCCTCTAGACAAATTCTGGGATAGTAGATCCATCCAAACATACATAATAATTCTATAACTCATTATAATTATATCTTAATTGCATCATGCTTGTGTTTCAATACAATACTTTTATTTTCCGTCGTTTACACAAGCTTATTGTTAAAATCATATAAAATTTCACATAAAATTGTTACATTTTAAAATTGACATAACATAATTAGCATAACTTGTGTATTTGATACAGCAGTGTAACATAATTCACAAAATAAACATGTCTACGTACATAAAGTATTGTGTGTTTTATAGAACGTTCACCAATCAAGATAATAACCCCACAAGATCACAGCACTCCTTTGGAAGCTGCAAGTACTGCTGCAGTGGCCGAGTATGGAGACGGCACTGAGGATGAAGATGATCAGTTTGGTCCATTTAACTTTTACTGCACTCAGGATGCAATGGCTGTGGGATGGGGCTGTGGTTCCCCACAGCAGAGATCCAGCAAAAAATTAGGTAAATAAGAGAGCAGTCAGCAACATATCCAGTTATGTACCATTTTTTTTCTCTTATCCAGCACACACCATTCATCATGGTGTGCATTGGTGGTTAGCGGGATTCACGACCCATGGATTCGACCGGGACCTCGACATTTAACGCTCCTGCTGTGAACCCCCTTTCTGCGAGATGATGATGAAAGTGGAGTAATTTTTGGGATGCCACGAAGAAACCGGGGAAGCCCCGGAGGAAATCTCTGTGTTGCCTAGACCACTGCCTTGCCCAACACAAGTTGTAAATCTGAGCACCGCCGGGAATCGAACCCGGGACCCCAGTATTACAAGCCCAGCGTTCTAATTGCTAGACCACCGCAGTTAATCCTTCCACTATTAATATCTGAGTCCACAGCCTTGTTTATCCCACTAGTATTATTTTATCTTTTCTTGGGGATGTCAGAAGCTGCCATAGTACTGTTCGCGACTGTAATCTTGAGACTTGCGGTGTGAGGAAGTGGGGTGAAGGAGGAGGGAGGAAAGATAGCGTCTGCCTTTAACGCTTCGGACTTCCTGCATTCCTTGCAGATCTCAAGATTACAGTCGTGAACTATAGTAATAGTTGTAGTATTTTATTAGTAGCATATGATTGCCTTGCCCTGATGATAGAGGCAGTATGGACCTCTGAAACATTGGTAAACTTCTACCAGACTACAAGGCACTACAACCCATAATATAAAGATCTTAGAATATTTAATTATCTATCAATTAGAAATTTTTGTATGGGATATATTGTAAAAAATAAAAGAAAAATATATTAACGATAAACATCTTAAAAGGTTTATCTTAACAAAGTGTGTGTATATGAATTATCAGTTCGTTAATACGTAGAAATTACCATGTATAAGATAGATTTGTAAATGGTTGCTATTAAATTTCCGTATTTTCAGGTTCGAAAGTCAAGAGGAAACTCCCAAAAGAAAATTCATTTGTGCAGAAGAAACATGGTTTGAAATCGTGTTCTCCCGTTGAACCATTACGCCCTAGAAGAAGATTTAACATAGAGAAGCCTGCAAGTGATTTTTCAGAGATCATTCCTGAGCTGCAAGTTATAGCAGATCTCGTTAACGAAATGAAAGGTAACACATGCGCAGATCTGTTAATAGGATTTATGGAGTCGTCAATGATTAATTTTGCTTTAAATAAAAGGACATTTTGTTGCTGTGATAATGAAATTGAAAGCATTCTTATTTTAGAAATTATATTTTAAGTTTAATACAAATTTTTAGGGGGGGTTTGCAGTGGCCGCGCGGTCTGAGGCGTGGGTCCTGTGCCGCTTGGTCGTTGGGACCGTGGATTCGAATCTCACTCAAGCCATGGATGTTTGTCCGCGTTTTTCTGTGTTGTGCTGTCCTGTGTACAGGTAGAGGCCTTGCAACGGGCCGATCCCTCGTCCAAGGAGTCCTACCGAATGTCCATAGATCAAACCCACTGAAAAAAATTTGGGGACCTGAAAAAGGGTACCGGAAAATGTAGAAAACATTCAAATATATATTTATTATTATTATTACGCATCTAAACTATAAACTATAGAAAACATTGTCAAACCAGAAAAAGAAGAAGATACAGATTTTTAATCATTAATTGTCTTCATTGTATAACCATAATAAGAGTCGCATAAAGTTAATAACATACCCGACTGCACTTTGAAATACAACGTTATTCCAAATTGAGATTTTGTGATATAAGAGTTTTTTTGTTTGAATGACTTTGGGACTGTAAGGGATCGTTTATTTAGATCTGGCAGTGTTTGTTGATTGGATGTGATTGATCATGCAGAAAAGCAGGGTGGTATCCGGTGCGGAGCCACTTCACGGTTCGGAACAAAGAGGATAAAAGGAAAATGTAAGGTGGTTCAAAAACAAGTAGGATAACTAAAGAATAATAGAATGAAGGTGGTTTAGAAGGGAGTACCTTACTTGATTTTCTGTCATGAATTCAGTTTAAATTTCTTCAGTTTTGACAAAATAATCACAGATCTATACCACTTTTTTTTAGATGTTCTATTTTGAGATAAAACTCAACTATGAAATTATTTGGAGTTGTACATCGCTTCATGATAACATATCAATTAAAACATTTTTGTTTATATTTTACGAACAGATCAAAATGACAAGACGACACAAAACGATGAACGCTGTGTCGTGACCGCTGGCAAAAAGGAAGACGCGGCAGTCAATTTTCTGAGGAGGGGCGAAGGTAGTTCTTCAGGTGGTAAGAAAGAGGAGCTGGCTAGTGATGTGCCAGAGTACGAACACGAAAGGTATTTGAATGAAACCAAGAAGATGAAAGACCAGCGGTGTGTTGTATCGCCACCGCCAGACTTGAATTTGTTACAAAGAAATCAGCGTGATGTAGGTAGTGAGACTTTTACTGCGTTGTTCGATGACGACGAAGATGAGTTTATGTTGCGATGTTCTCAGGAAATAGAAGAGAAGTTAAATGAAAATTTACCTGTGGTTTGTAGTGGTAATTCAGAGTTACCATTACCTGATTACAAGAACAATGATCGTGTTTCCGTAGAATCTCTAGTCGGGAGTCCAAAAATGCACAAGGCAGCCAGCGATTTAAAACATATCGGTAACGGCGCGAAGAAACCCAGCGATTTAAAACATATCGGTAACGGTGCGATGAAAACGAACAGTCCAAAAGTAGGAACAAAGTATTACGTACGGATTAAATCTGGAACGACAAAATATTCCAGGGATGACCACTGTCATTCTCAGGCTTCACATAACCATTCAAGTGCTAGAGTTCAAATCCGTTATGGCAGAACTAACACGGCCTCGGCGATAAATTCTAAGCCGCCTCCTGACAGTGAAATTGCATTCAACGACTCTTTTGATGCCGTGATACAAAATTTAACAGAAGCAGATATTGAAATGCTGAGTCAGGGTTGTGAGAAGAAACGTGGTGATAAAGAAACTGGTAAACAATCTTTTCAGAAGGCGGACGACAGGACACAAATGAACTCGAAAAGAGGAACTGTACTGAAAGCAGCTGTGGGACAGTCACTTCCTGTTCACAGGCCATCATTAGTTAACGACCAACCAGTTCATGAAATTAACAGCAGTAGGCCGTTGAAGCACGTAAATCATGGAAATGCGGCGAATGACGTCGGCGCACCTGCAACCAATAAAGCGCAGTTTCGATTAAAAGTTCCTTCCAGGATGTGTAATAATCAGAGTTTACCGGAACGGCTGAGCGCGGTTTCAGCCGTTCAGGTAAACAAACCGCATTCGAATAAAGTTGTACCACTTGTGAATAATAAAATGTTTCTTATGCGGCAAGGGCAGAGTGCGGCTGAGAAGAATAGTTACGTCGCGCGACCCGGTTCCTCTGCCGGCTCGATTTCGCTGCCATGTAAGTATTACGTACGGATCAAATCTGGAAGTCTGAAATATGCTAGAGATGAAAACTGCGCTTCTGGTTTTTCAGTAAACTGTTTGAGCGCTAGTGTTCAAAAATGTCATGATCATCCAGAGGTAAATAATAAATTCACTGAGGAAAAGGGTCGCAGTAAAAGCACAGTAAACCCCCCTTGCAGCATCTTGGATACACTCTGACATGTAAGTGTGTATGGTTATATTAAAATATTTGAATTATAATTATCGTTATAACCATTAATTTAAGAGAATCTTCAGTTGACATAAGAAATTTAATTATTTTGTATTGACTTTGTGGAAGTTCTGATTTGTTACTTGGTTCGTCTCACGTCTTTTGTTACGGTCCAGAAGGGAAGTGTAATGTTGAGACTTGTAGTAATTAATGACATTTTTCTACTAATGGGTGATTGCTATATTTTTTAATATAATCTCTGATTCATAGAGAGGGGTCCGCAGTTGTCGCGCGGTCTGAGGCGTGGGCCTTGTGCCGCTCGGTCGCTGGGACCGTGGGTTCGAATCCCACTCAAGCCATGGATGTTTTTCTGCGTTGTGCTGGCCTTTGTACAGGTAGAGGACTTGCGACGGGCCGATCCCTCGTCCAAGGAGTCATACCAAATGTCTATAGATCAAGCCAATGAAAAAGTTGGGACCCGTAGTGCTCAGGCACTTGAAGAACGCGTACATTTAGTAATAGCCACCCAAAGAGGGAATGGAATAATGTTAGAAATACATTTTAAATGGACATTCCATAAATATTTTTGACGTGAACGTTTTCGGAAGAGGTCGTGTTAGATAACGTTGCACGAGATTGAAGTTTTCTCTTGTACACGGGACCGCAAAAGAGGGTATCGATTGAATTAATTAAATTTTTGCACATTTTTAAATATATGTATGTATTATTGTGTTCTCACAATAAAGAAATTGAATTAGGAATATTAGCGTGAAGTAGATATTGCTTATGGATTAGTTGAAGCCAACAGGTAATAGCCGTGTTGTACGTTTCAGTTCATACGGCGCCAAAATCACCGCCACAGAGATACACGCCAGAAGAGATTCGGAAGAAACGACTAGAAGCGAGGAAGAAACTAGAGATGAAAAAGCTGGCTATGTTGTGTGAAAATGACAAGCAGTGACCTTTCTAAGGGTCACTGAACAAATAAGACCTGAAAAATGGCCCAAGCATAGAATCTCATTTAAGAACTTACATTGAGTAAATGTTACATCGACAGAAGTCTTAATGAATTTGAAGATATCGCAGCTTAACTCAACGCAGATGGAGAGGTGAAATAACCGCAGTTTGGGTAATAAGATGAAACAGAATTGGGCCTTGAAGTATATGTCCACTGAGAATTTCTTACAGCAAGTTCAACCAGCTTTTGCATCATATTTACAAGATCTGAACCTGAAACATTCTCAGTCGGACTTACAAGACACGGGTAAGCGACGTTAATGACTTTGAAGTAATTAAAATCTACACGAAACATAATCAACGGTCTCGCCTGTGAAAATGGCATAATTTGATAATTTTCTATATGCATTCACTAATATTCTTCTTCTTCTGTTTGTTGAATGTTACTTCGGTCTTCCGGTGCCTAATATTTTCTTCCATTCTTCTCTATTTTCCCATCCGTCCGGAGGTAGTCTCCGCTCTGTCACAATTCTTGTAATTCCGTCGTTCCATCCTGGTCTCGGTCTCCCTCTCTTCCTTCTCTCTTTTGGTTGCTATTTCATAGTCTTCTTTGGTAACCTTTCCTCCTCCATCCTTTGCATTTTGTCTTTTCTCTATCTCCTCTATTATATATCGGTCCACCCTCATGATTTCTCTAATCCTTTCATTTCTCACTCTCTCTCTCTTCTGGATATTCCAGCCGCTCTTCATAGGAAATCCATTTCCATTATTCTCAACTTATTTTGTTGTTGTTCCGAGAGTTGCCAAATTTCTGCTACGCTTTGTACCATTGTTTTATATATTCTCTTTTTCGTTCTTTTTGTGATATTTTCGTCCCATAATATTGGGTTGAGGGCTTCTATGAGTCTCCCGAATTAATTTTTGAAGCAGTGGTCGTACTCATTGCTTGAAGCTGCTGCCTGTGACTTCAAGGCTTAAAAAGATCAGTAACTTCAAGCAGCCGGATTCGGACTACAAGAATGTTTTTTGCTACCTTTATCGAATCTGCTCAGTCGTCTATGTCTGACGGATTTTGGCGTGTTGTTGTGGAGAGACAATATGCCGAGATCTTTGTCGCGTAAACTCTCGTTAAAACGTAGACTTTTTTAAACTTCTTTCCAGTTGTTGCGGCGTTTTCATTTTTACAGGGGGAGAGTGTCATCAGCAAAGGTCCAAGTGGCTCGTGGTGTCTCATCGCTCAATAAAATGTCCGACACTTTGTGAGTCACTTGGGCATTCTGTTCTGGGCCGTGAGGTACCGATTGACCCTAGATGTTTCTCGTGATTATTTATTTGTTCAGGACAACTGAAACAACTAGTTGTCTAATGTCTGAATTTTCCCGAATGTCCCATAATGATCGACAGCCCTTTATGATCAAGGTTCTCCTCCTCTGTCTTTATTCTTGAAATATTCTCTCGTCTTTAATTCTAAAAACTACTGTAAAATGGTCGCACGTGTGCACTGATAAATGTTTCTCGAAAGTTTTGAGGTATCGAGCAGTGGACTTTTTCCGTAAATGTAGTATGTTCCTATGCTCTGAAGATGGAGACGGTAAGGTTTTCAGATGTTGGCAATACGGTCCACATGTATGTGTTGCTATCGTCAAAAATGTATCCGCAATATTATATAGTTTACTTCCGACTAGAATTATTTGATGTGAACGTAGTTATATTCTACAAAAGTTTAAGGAGTAAAAATTTAAATTTTTTTAAAAAACATTTTTTATAACGTCATCCACAGTTGTGCGTCTGATTATTTCACTTCTTCGAGATATTCATACGGGAGGAGAGTATACGTAAAAATGCCTCGCGATAGTGGGAAATAAAAGATACCAAAGAGCTTCAGTAATTTTATATCACGTAATGTTGAAGGAACTGAAGTCTCAAAATTTGAAATAGCTGCTCGATAAAATTAAATTGGCGAGAAAAGAATTATCGGATCTGTACTCGGATTGTTCGCCTTATTCTCAAGAGTAGCGCTGCTGGTTCTCGGAATAGCATCTAAAGAAAATGTGCGTTAAAGTCAAGTTTAAATAAGACTGATAAGTGGTTAAAACATTTCTGAATTTAAAATATTTTTATATTATTTAAATGTGAGTAATTACACTTTCATTAGATTTAGATATACTTTGGCATTTTCTACGTAACTTTTATTTGTCACAAAACACGATCTGCCGTTGTGGGCGCGTAAGATGCATTTTCTATTGTGGTGAATGCTCTGATGTAATCTTTACCACTAATTGTTTTACTTTTGAAACTGTGAAAATGTTTCGCACTCCAATCTGAATTTTGTATTAAGATTAATTTCATTTCTATGAAGATTAATAATTAAAAGGTAAACCTTGTATTATTTTTACTCTTTAAAGAAGAGGACACTATTCTGTGTTCTTTATTGTGAAATAAATTACGAAAGGAAAGGAAAGGAAAATGTTATATTGTTAGGTAAACATTTATTGTGTTTATTTATCTCCTAATGTTACGCAGTAAGAAATTATATTTTGGTTGTTACTGTAACTGCATTTAATTTAATGAAAAATGTCATAGTTGCAATATCATCTTATATATCCTTAATCCTTTTTCCATTCAAAAAGTAATATTTTGAGACAGCAGACACTTGGTTAGTTGTAGGATTTGAGGTTCTTGTGGCGAAAAATACACAATCTTACATTTATGCTGCCCAATATAATAATGATATCTAAATAATAGGAAGAAGATGTCTCCGTTTAGTCTACCAGCAAGTGATCGACGTTTCCACAATCGGGGCCATGAGGACCTTATATATCACCTAATAAACAGAAAGTAATTGCAATTCGTCATTATTATTATTGTTCTGTCTGACGACAGGTCCATATGAACAGGATCCTTCCGTCCTTTTCTCGGACTGGGACCTGTTCATATACGTTCTTGGCAGATGATCCAGAAGTGGTTTTGCCATTGCCTTCTTCTGTGTGTGAATGGAGTAATTGTTGGGATGCCACGGAGAAACCGGGGAAGCCCCCGGAGGAAAACTCCGTGTTGCCTAGACCACGGCCTTGTCCAACACAAGTTATAAATTCGGGCACCGCGGGGAATCGAACCCGAGACCCCAGGATTACAAGGCCAGCGTTCTAACCGCTAGACCACCGTGGCTCTATTCGTCATTGTGGTACGTAATATTTTCACTAAAGATTTCTCACGTGCGTTAGGATGAGATGGTCATGTAGCCTGCAGGTCGGACTTCGTTTATTACCGAACCTGCTTATCATTCTCCAAGACGCGTGTTTAATCTCGCGTCTTCATATTGAACCGATGTAGGTCAGTCCGTTCCGCACAATGATGTCATAGCTCGTCTCTGACCTTGTCTCCCTAGTGCGCTGACATTTATTGCCTGATTTATCACTCTGAAGCGACGGAAAATTCTAATAGAGGTGGGAGATTGCCTTTGCTGTGAATGTAAGGATGGTTAAAATATTTTCTTCCCTTGAGCCAAGGACACGTTTCCCGTTGGACCCAAGAACCAAGAAACTTCTCATGGGCGCTAATTTTTAAAACTAACAACCAATTTTCGTTATCTTTAACAACACTTTTTAATGACTATGAATTACCATAGCATGTTTATAAATAGCTTAAGTATATATTTTATTGAAATTCTCGCAAATTACTGAATTCGAGAGGGTGTGTGGCATTTGTACGCAAAGCAACAGCAGACGAGATAATTACGATTAAAATAAATGATCTTGTAGTAACTATTAACAAATAATTTCGCGGACATGTTAACAAGTGATCGACGGATGCCAGTTTTGTAATATTGCTGTATATCGAGCATATCACCTACCTCCATAAAGCAAGAGTCCTTGAGAAACTGACAGTCGTTCAGCTGGTCAATAAATTCTCCACCCTTCGAAGGTTTATTACCGTGTCCATGAGAACACTCAAATGCTATTTTTGGGGGGGGGGGCTGTTGAATCCAGTCCACACTACATCCTACTACGTTGTGATTCTCCCATCTATGTCTAGATCTCCCCAATGTTCTTTTTAGACCAAAAATTTGTATATATCGTCTCTCACAAACTTGCTAAGTGCCCTGTCCATCTTATTCTATTTGGTTTTACTATAGTGATAATATATTGTAAAGTACAAATTATGAAGCTCCTCGTAACGCAATTTTCTCAATTCTTCTATGGCTTTAATCTTTTTATTTCAAGAAATTCTTGAATACATTACAGTATACTTTGCAGAATCTAAAACAATTCAGTCAACATTTGGTTTTAGTCAGTCACTTTTTGTAGGCAATGCGAATAAGGAGTGTCCAGACATTACTTGACTTAATATTTTTCGCGATTCAGGTGCCAAATAGCTTAAAACATGACAGTTTTTACGAGAATAAGGTGGTCTTATTAATTACCACGTTCGTATGAAAGCGATAGATCGATATTGTCCCTTAAACTGAATTTTCCTCCTTGTATGACGTCCTTTACCTATATTAATAATAAAAAAAAAACTAGACTTTATTTACGCGGTATGTTTCTGCACGTTATGTCTGGAAGTGACAGCTTTCGAGAACGTTCTCCTACTCAACACAACTTTCGCAAAGCCAGCCATTGTTTTATTCCCTTCAGGGTATCAGTAAACATGCGGTGAAGGACTCGTTAACTGTCCTGTTCCGGGAAGTCACTGCCACACACCATCGGAACGGTGACAGACGTGCTGTGGGTGTATTCAGGTATCGTGGTTTTATTCAGCATCTGAGTTTCTATTCCATCAATAATTATTAATATTATTAGTCCACCTATTTCGTACCAGAATTCATACATTTGACGGTTTATTACTGGGACACAAAATGGAAGATTTAATTAAGTTATTATTCTGTCTTAATAATTTGTACTGTATTAGCTATTTCATAATAGTTAAATGGAGAATGATAATAATGAGCTTCTTAATTTGTAAGGACGACCAAAAACATTCAGTCTGTTGCGCAGGAAAGTTTCGAGACTAAACACGAACGCATTTATATGTACATTTGAATTCGTTTGTTTATTATCGCTTAGAAAACCCCATTTTACACTTTTGTAGTTAAGTTTATGATGACAAGAACTCCGCCTCTGTTATACGTACAAAAATTTTATACCAACTTCGATACGGTTTCTTTATATCCAAAATTAGCCCTGATGATGGAGTCGATATGTTCTTACGAAACCTCGGTAAACGCCTACAAATTTCAAGGAATCGCTGCTCAGCAGACCATAATCGATATTTTCACCGTCATGAATAATTTTAAAAACTTTAAAATTGGGTTTAACGACTTTAAAATAAGCTTCTATCAGACAACACGTCACAATATCTCATAAGACAGCCATCTTCATACTTTAAATAAGAAGAGTGGATACTTACTTTAAGTATTATACGTATTTTGTTTGTGACTTCGTGTGCTGTCGAACTTCATTTACGGAAACCTCAGGGTTTCGCCTTTGGGCTGTTAGACCAACAAGCTTACCGGAAGTTACTACAGTCCCTAAGCAGTGTATGGTCTTGTAAGCATCACAGACGTTCATATTTTATGTACCGGCTCTCACAATGCGGTTGCTAAAATATTATAGAGTTTCATGTAAAATTTGTTGCTGGAAAGGTCAGAGTTCAGAACGGCAGTTCCATTAGGAAGAGTTCGCATTCGAAAGTTTATCTCAGTACTCGAGAGGATTTGGCTGGCAGTCCGTATTTTGACAGTTAAGGCAATCAGGGACATTTTCTCGGAGTAGAAAGTGCGTTAAGTTAGATTTAATCAGCGACATCTGTCGTTTTACAGATTTTAGAAGAGTCTGACATGCGTGGAATGAAACGAGGGGGTGTTACTGTCATTTACTTTGGTCTTTTATTTATAATTCGCCATTAGGGAAATCCAACAAAATCAGCTTTTGCTATATTCCGTTTCTTTTAATTTATTGAGTGAAAACATAAATAACGCAAGGTCTATTATTATTCACTAGTAAATTAACATGTTACAGACGTAAACTCAGCTATGTCTCTCCATCTCTGTTTCTCCCAAAAAGGTGCGTCATTGAAGATAGTAGACAAAGAACGCTCATATTGAATAGACAACGTCGGGAAAAATGTTGATTGTTTCTATTTAGAGAAATAGGAACAGGAGTGTCCAAAAGTTGTACAAACTGTCTTCGAATTAAAAATTGCAAATGCTATTAATAATGTTTCTCTCGGAGATGAAACTTCAGGACAATAGTTGAATTTTTTTCCTACTTCAAAAATTAGGCACAGGTTTGTCCAAAACCTTTGCGCCAGACACAAACTACTCAAATAGCGCATTGTAAAAAAAAAATACAAATATATTTATATATTTATTAATTAATAATTGGTTATTTAAAAATGATGTCTTACTTTGCTCTAAAAGTTCTAGATTGGCTACAAATGTAGATAGTTAACTAGTGTGCGCACTAATTTAAACCCGCGGATAAGTGAAACCAAATATCGCGGTTGGCAAAACTTCATACAAATTGTTAATTGCGCCTAACAAGAGATTTCTGTTTTTGAAAACAAGCTTTTTTTACTGCCAGTAATTATTAGTGGGGGTACAAAAGAGAGGAACAGACGATATGAGTGCCATTAAAACACACAATGCGTAAAATAATTAAATGCACTCAGTTCAACCATCTCTCACGCCATGGCCTACCTCATAACTGTACGCACGCTTACTTTTACACTGTTTCTGCTTCATTGAGCTCATGCATTTCTGAGAACAATTTGCAGTGCAGAAAGAGAATTATCACAACAAACGTCATCAGTTTTTTGTTATCAGCATTGACTGAAAATCTCTGTAATGTAAAATCTAAATTCTAAATATCATAAATTAAGGTTTCATTGTTTTAATCAGAGTTTTTCCTGAACATTTATTATGTATTGCTACTGTTATGTTTAGTGACTAATTTCTACAACTAAATTTAAAAAAAGGGAAATTTAAAATATCAGACTTGTTTTACAAACACATTGCCAGACAAAAAAAGACTATGAAGTTGGCTGTATTCTGAGTTGTACCGCTGTGTATAGTCTAGTAAAGTGGTATTCAACCTGGGGTACGCGTAGTGTTCTGTCTGCCGACAGGTCCATATGAACAGGATCCTTCCATCCTTTTCTCGGACTGGGACCTGTTCATATACGTTCTTGGCAGATGATCCAGAAGTGGTTTGCCATTGCCTTCTTCTGTGTGTGTGAATGGAGTAATTGTTGGGATGCCACGGAGAAACCGGGGAAGCCCCCGGAGGAAAACTCCGTTGATACCTAGACCACGGTCTTGCCCAACACAAGTTATAAATCTGAGCACCACCGGGAATTGAACCCGGGACCCCAGGATTACAAGGCTAGTGTTCTGACCACTGTCTTAAGTGCAATTCAAATAAATTTAAACTCTGACACACCGTAGTAAGTAGGAGTAATCGATTTTCTGGCTTGTGAACGAAACGGTATGTACCTCAAGGTTCATGCAAAATATCGAAGGGTTCTCTGTAAATTACTCTCGAAAGATTGCT